TAGTCGTCACCTTTGATCTGTGCACACGCTTTCCTATAATAAGGATTTTTAGCAAAGTCGACGAATGTCAGTAAATACATAATTATACATATTATTTATATACTAATAATGAGGATTATTACATTCCTCCATCCCTAGAATGAAATTATATTTTGATATAACGAGAACTTAGATACTAAGGCTAAATTCTAATACAATTATAATTTCATACAATATTTTTTTTTCTCTTCAGTCTAATTTCACACATCAGTTACTCTGATTGTGTCAAAATGTACAGGATTATAATCGCGTACCGGAGGTGGTGTTGAAACCATACAATATTTTTTAATCATGCTACAAACAATTAAGATTAGGTACAAATAAAATTACAATGCCATAAAATATATAATTATAATTTTTGTGTACCTCGCGTACAGATTGTTTTGTAATTTGATAATCAATATCTCTATTTATGTCATCTAAAGAACTAGATATAGAATTCAAATCGTGTAATTTTTCAATTTTACCCATCATTTTAAATGATGGTATACTAAACGTAGCATCCTACTCTAATTTTTGTTCAACCATAATTATTTTTGTTTCCGGTATTATATCTACTAATTACGAATTTTGAACCGATGTAACCGGTTGCGATATATTTTGGCTTGCATACCCTTTACATTGTTCTTCGATCGTTAATAACCCTGTTCCTACTAGTTCTATATTTTCTGATCTCTCGTCTACCCCACATGTTAGTACTACATTTTCGTGTTCTACGGTATAGATCCACGTGTTCTTAAATTCTAATTTATGGAATATACTTCCATATAACTCAAAATATAAATATTTACACATTTGCGTTTTTTCCTTTTGTTTTGTAAATAACGCTATTTCACAGTTAGTATTTGAATTTTTAGAATGTACAGGTTGTACGGCATAACAGATAAAGTAATTAAGTATTTTCTTACATGAGTTTAATTGTTGTGGTGTAAATGTCGTAAAATATTCATTATAAGGACTTATCGCAATAAAATCATACGTATTTTGTACGTACGCGAACGGTTTGTTTTTAATTTTAATCGGCATCGGAATTATATTATACAAAATAAAATTCTGTTGATCTACTTATGGTATTTTGATATTAAACATCAGTAATTGATTTTGATACACAACACTGACCTCTGATAATTGATACAAATTATATGGTTCAATATTGTCGATATCAATCGGTAATGATGTACCTTTAGGTAATGATAATTTAATTTCTTTCATGCTTTCCTGTAATGCCTCGATAGATAAAACTCCCACATGTATTTGACCTGCCCTTGCTAAATTAATCATTTCCGATATATAATTGGTCTTGAATGCATACTGACCTAATAATAAATTTAATAACAAATATGAATCTTGTATTTGTGTTTTATGATCTACCTCGATTGTTTTATTTATTACTTGAACCGATAAATTTCTTATATCTGTCATAAACTCATTAATTTTATTTCGTAAAAATGTAGTGTCCCTATAACTTTGATCTGTTTGTTTCATTACCGTTTTAATGACTCGCGTTTGTGATTTCATTATATTTAACGTACTTTTTTCGGATTGCTGTAATTGTAATACATTATTTGTATTTGTTTCTACGCACTTATTATCGCATATTCCAAATAATAAATTTGCTAAATTACCTACACCATCAATTATTCCTCTACTTCCCCTTTTTGAAGGATGTTCTAAGGTTTTCAAAATGTTTGCCCTTTTGTTTAAAATTTCATTAGTGAAATCCGTGAATACAGTTTTGAAATTTTGACAAATGATGTTAGTTTTCGACGGTATTAATTCGTTTTCAAGGCAATATTGTTTTGTACTATCTAAATATGTATCAAAAATTTTCTCGCGTTCGTCATAAATTGTTAGATTAACATATGTCAAAAGTGTCCATTGTGTGTTTATGATCCTGACGGATCCGTTATTTTCAAAATAAAGCCCTGAGTGGTTGCTCACGTGTGTAATGTTGTATAGTGCATGTTGTATTCCGTGTGTTGGTGTGTGTAAGATGGACAGACATATAATAAACCTATAACAATTTTTAACTAGATTAGTGTCTATGATTTCGTTATCTAATAATTCATTTAAATTTACTTATATACTAATATTTTATACATTCTATATTTGTTTATATTTTCTTAATTATTATCTACTACTTCGTTAAATAGTTGTAAATGATTCATGTGGGCTCTTAGTTCTTACTATTTTGTTATTCTTCCTAATCAATACATTTACGGGTTCATGGACCTCCACGATTTCGTATGGACCTATCCAATTAGGTTCTAACTTGTTTTTCTTTTTCATATTTTTCATAAGTACCTTATCTCCTATTTCTAACTCTATCGGTTTAATGTGTTTGTCGTAATTAGATTTAGATTTTAATTTTGCTTCAATTAAATGTTTTTTTGCCATTTGTCTTGCATCCTGCATACGAGTTCTCAAATCACTTCAACTGCAGCTAGATGGCCTACCTGATAATATACTGCTGCGAATCAGAATTTTTATCCCAGGCAACAGAAGAGTTAAGATAAATTTTGAACACCATACACCGAATATTAAATGAATAATTGAACAAAGTTTGAGTCCTATAGAGCTAGTTTTATTATATTTAATTGATTATTGCAACTAATAAACGCGTTAACATCAAGTACCTATATTTAAAAATATTGTTTAAGCAAAAAGTGACCAAGCTATTAACTCATTTCTTGCATGTATACCAAAACGTTTGATATGCTCAGTTGGTCATTATATTATTAATAATTAATTATAATCACGATACTATTTTAGGTTCTAAAAATAAACATTTTTATTGATAATAATAATTCAAGTATCAAAATAGCAAATTATAAATATATTATATTAATAATAACAAGACCATGGTAATAATTTTATTATCCACGTCGTGATAATATGAACATTATCATCAAAAAAAATAAAAATAGCAGAATATTATTATTAATATAATAATATAATATGATTCCACAGTGCGCTCTTGCAAATGTTCATCAACTCATTTACTTTATATACTCCGGCCCACGAGAGAGTATTACCGTCGCCCGACGAAAACTCGTCCGATTCCGCGCATTCCCCACTACTCGGCATGTGCCGACAACTGTTCGGTACCGGTCGGCAGCGCTCAACGCTATACGGTGTATAGCGGTCGCGGAAATAGTGGGGGAAATGAGGCCTCGAAACGGTCTCCGCCGTCAGTCTGCATGCGCAAAACGGTAATACTCTCTCGTGGGCCGGAGTATAGTTGTTTTATTCAATAAGAATTTAGTTTTAAACTTTTTAAAAGCATAACTCAGTTACCAATACAGTATAATACAGCTATAATATACAATGAACAATCGTAGTAAAAAGCTAATTGCAATGTGCAAAAATAATAAAAGTAAGTAACATTTTAATTTCCTAATATGAAGTATTGACATTTTTTCGTAGCATACATAATCAAAAAACTTGTTCAAAATTTGTTATGACTTATGGTTATAGTAGGTACAGTTATGGTTTGATAACGTAAAAACGAAGAGAATGAGTGAGCGAGTTTATTTTTAGTAAAATATAAAAATTGTAAAGTTATTTTTTTCTTGTATATAAAATAGAGTTTTGTATAGTTTATAGCATAATGTATATACAGGGGTACTTTAAACTTTTATTTCTTATTGTTGGGTAAATCGCTCGCTCCCGAGGGAGCTTATATTTCATGATTTTAGATTCAAAAAGTATACATAAAAGTTAGTTGTGTGTACGAATTATTATTGACTCAATTCTCTCACCTCGGTCCTCTCCCATATAATGGTAGGTATACCATTATCAATTACGTATTTCAGATATATAATAACTTTTGTTATTGAGTGTAAAATATTACAATAAAATCATTATATTATTATTATTAATTGTTCTTTTTAATAAAATATAGAATCGAATAATGCTAATCCTCAAACAATGACATCTACATTTGTTAAAGAGTCAAGTACCTATGGTGCGTTTAGAAAATATCAAAGTCTCAAGTTCTCAGAACTTTATTATGAAAAAATGTAAGTTATAATATGTTTTTAAAATAAGTAACAAGCTTATAATTTTATAAGTAATTAAGTAATACTTTAATAACTACAATTTCACTGAAAATATTAAAACATTTGTTTTTGTTTTTATAGTTTTGGATGATGTAATTACAGTGCTCAAACCAAGTAATTATGATTATCAAAATTATAAAAACAATATCACTTTATACAATGATTAAGACCTGAATGTATCAGCTAATATTAATACGCAGTCGGTATCTGGACCATCTCAAATAGATCTACCTACTAATAATCTCACTGCAAACAATGATAAAGAAACTGATACATTAGTTATTAATACATGTAAGATAAAAATACTAACTATTATATTATTTATATTATTTAAAAAAAAAATGTTATTAATGGTTTATTACAATATTTCATACTATTATTTATTAGCTAAATAATATTAATTTGTTTTTATTTTTTGAATTATCGTGTTCAGGTTCAAATTACAATACTAGATTTCAATTAAATAAACAATTTTCTATTGATCAAAATGTTCATAACAACAAGACATTATTAGGTATGTAAATTTGAAAATATAATAGATATTGTTTAACTATTTTTTTATAATTTTTGTTCATTTTCTAGATAGTGGCGATGAATTCGATGATAGTGGTGATGAATGGCAACCGTATAGTAGTAAAAATGGTGCAATTGAATCTGATAGTGATGATTTGATGAAAACCAGTAATGAAAATATTTTGGAAGTGGTCAATATTACAGAACATAATGAAAATATTGAAACAAAAGAATAGCTAATAATTAAGTCTGTGATAAATTATATTATTGATCAAAGTTGCAACCTAAGTAAAGACACATTAATCGAAGCATCAGAAGAAACTATGAATAGTCAAAGTAAACAATTGGTTAGACGAGTGAGGGGTGATGCAAGTAAATGGAAGAAAAATGTTATTTCTAAAGAAAAAAAAACTCAAGGCTATTGATTGCTCCCACTGTAAATTTAAATGCTCTATTAATTTTGATGAAAGCTATAGAAATGAAGTTTGCAATAAATTTTGGGCTTTAGAGTATAACCGGCAAAAAGATTTTATTTTAGCAAATGTAACGATAAAATCTGTAAAACGCCATGTTCCAATTACAAATGTAAGAAAAGCTAAAGAAAGTTCAAGAGTATACAGTTTTAATAATAATACAGAACATAACATTCAAGCGTGTAAACAATTTTTTTTGAAAACATTATCTATTAGCCATGGGCCTGTAGATAAAGCATTTGAAGGATTAAGCACAGACACTGGTTTATTTATGGAACATGATAAAAGAGGCAAAGCGCTATCGGTAAATAAATCTTCAGATGAAATTATAGCTAATATTAATTCACATATGGCAAAATTCCCTACAGTTAAATCCCATTTCTGTAGATCTACATCTAAACGTCAATATTTAGATCCAAATTTATCAATATCTAAGATGTATGAACTGTATGTGAAAGAATGTAATGAAGCAAGTTAAAATCAAGTTAGCTTATCATTGTATAAAAAAATATTTTGTGAAAATCATAATTTATCATTCTTTAAACCAAAGAAAGATCAATGCTTAATTTTTGAAAAGTATAACAAATCTGCAAAACCTCAATCCAAAGACATGGTTATAAATTATGAAAATCACATCCGAAGACGTGATGAATCTTTTGCTTCTAAAAAATTAGACAAAGAACGAGCTACAAAAAATAACCAATATTTTTGTAGTGCCACATTTGACCTTCAAAGTGTTCTCCAAATTCCAAGTTCTGAAGGATCAGCCATGTACTATAGTAGAAAACTTTGTGTATATAATTTAACATTATATGAGGCTGCTCCACCAAATAATGCATTTTGCTTTTTATGGACAGAAGTCAACGGTCAAAAATTAAACTCTGAGATTGGTTCAGCATTGTTTAAGTGGATTTATCAACTTCCTAAAAGTATTAAAGAGATTTCCCTATATTCTGATACATGCAGTGGGCAAAACAGAAATCAATTTATTGCTGTATTATTTTTATATGTTGTAATTCATACAAAAATTGAATTACTTCACCATAACTTTATGGAGAGTGGTCACTCATATATGGAGGTGGATAGCATGCACAGTACAATTGAAACAGCTAAAAAAAATGTACCAGTCTATACCATGTATGATTGGTTGAATATCTGTCGCCTAGCTCGGTCTCAAAGAAATAATAAAAAATGTTCTGGGTACTCGATTCATGAATTAATAATTATTATACCTATACACAGATATTTATGATCTAAAAAGTCTAGCCGGTATTTTAATGAATAATAGAAATATTGACAACTTAGGTGCTCAAGTGTCTTGGTTAAAAATAAAAGTTATGAAGTATGAAAAAAATAAAAAAGGGATAATACAGTTTAAATACAATTACTCAGACGATGAATATAGAAGTATACATGTGGGCGGAAAAGGTAGGCCTTCAAAACTTCCCGAACATTTAAAAATATTGTACGATGAACCACTAAAAATATCAGAAATCAAAAAAAAGATCTCATGAAGCTATATAAATCTGAAGCTATACCAAAAGACTTTCATAATTGGTATCAAAATATTCCTTCCAGTTCGAAGAAGAAGGATACACTACAAATATCGGATTCTGAATCAGATTATGAATAGTGTATTATTATATTTTATTTTGTTATTTTGAATTGATTATTATTATTATATTTTAACAAAGTTGACTATTATTTTTTTTTTTAATTTTATTTTTAAACAAAGTTATCTTATTATTTATTTTTTTATTTATTATGTTATAATGAATAATATTTACTGTTAAAACAAAGATTTGGTTTGAATAATAATATAATATAGTTTAAATTGGTTTAGCCTAGTTATTGATATTATTAAATTAATAACTATATCAAATAATACACATTAACTACCATATTCTAAAACTACTTGTTAATACTATTATTAATAATAATATTCTATTGATGTAATAAATTATAAATATATAATATTATTTTGATGTGTAATATGGGAAAAAATGATCAAGTGCTTATTTTGCCACTTGACGTGGTCCCGCGCAAAATCTGTTTGAATTCATACAGCCTTCGCGCGGAAGCCGCGCCGTGGCTTCTCAATCAAACCGGCAATCGACGACGGACGGCGCCGGCGCGCGACATCCGCGCCTGGAAACGTCGACCGGCCGTTCGGCGAACCGGCTCGCTGAAGTGACTCGTTTTCTTCTCAGCGACCCGGACAGACCTCCACACACGTCCCCGTGAGTCTGAAACCACTACCATAGTAGTACACTTGATCGATACCGTTTCGCAATTTATTGTATGACTTCAACACTAATAAAAAACTTAAACTACACCAGTGCATCGTTTTGTTGTTTTTTTTTTAACCTGCCTTGTCTTTTGGCCACCTTCATCCACCGTCCACGCGGCACCACACAGGTCCGCATCACACTTAGTCATTTTTTACCCATTTTGAAAGTTGAACTTTTTAAATTAAAACTTAAAGCAAAATAAATTTAAAAATGATTTAACATAATATTAATTATATACAGCATCACGATTTATATGATATCAAGTTTAAAAAAAATTGAAATTTTCATAGCATATCTAAAACTAAAATGATTATAACAGAAAACTATAAAATTACACTTGGTCAGTTTTTGCATGACGACGACGAAATTAGAGTACAGTACTACAGTTACCTACTAAAATTGAATGAATGTTGTGTTCGGAATAATCCATTTAACTCTTTATTTTGAAATTTGAGTGCATTTTTAACTATACATTTGAAATGTCTTAATTTTAATTTATAACTTGATTTAAGAATGTTATAATCATCTTAAAATTGCTACAAATTTTAAATACAAACAAAAACGTAAAGAGTTTTAGATTACTTAATGATATCTAATTGTATCTTTAAATTGTATAATGTAGTGATCCCTCACTAACGCTTATATTTGAGTGACCGACGTCTGTAGTTGGACCAGGTTGATCAAAAGGAATAAGGCTTTTCGAAGAGAGACAAAGGCGCAATGTTAAATGAAGTATTTATTATAATTGAGTTAAACTTGTTATAAAATAAAATAAAATAATTGTTACAAAATGTTAGAGAAGTTTGAGGACAGCACGTTAAGTAACTGCCCGAGAACTTAGTTAAATCTACTTGTAGTTACTGGGAATGCACTTAGCCTGGCGGCGATGTAGAGTGCGCGGACTCTACGACCAGGTAAGTACTACATGTAGGGATGTGAGACTAATTCTGATTCTAAGGTGTACAGAGACTCATATTTATATGGTTCTCTGTACTCCCTGTTATACACGGTAGAGACTAGGAGGTGGACAAAAGGCGAGTCGGCAGCTTGTTGTTTATTGTAGCTGCCGAAAAGTGGTTTGCGACCAAAAGGTAATAAAAATTTGCAATATCATTTTAACTGGTTCTTCTCACGTCTTTGATTCTTGGAACTCGTAAAACGCAATAGTGTTTGTGTAGACCATATGCCTTGCATTGATAGTTCCGAGAATCCGCAATAACATATTAAAATGTGAAGGCCGTGGCTTTAATGTAATAAAGTAAAAAAAATAGTGAATCGACACCGTCGGTTTACTACATTCCTCCCCTCGAAGCTTGAAGTCCCTGGCTTCATTAATGAAAACCATAAGGTTGTAATTTTGCATATTAGGCCTTCGGGCTATTTCTTGGTGTGAGTGGGAACTCGATTACGTCGTCGCTTCTATGCGTTGTTGGTTTATTAAGTTCTTCGCTTTCTTCTTGAATGTGTTCTGGAGACTTGTTTTTGTATTTTTCTGTTGTTTTTGTTTTAACACAGCGTATGATTATTATCATCATCAGTATTGTAATAAAGCCTATGGCTATATATAATACATAATTAAATAATTGTTGTAAGTCTTGAAGTTGTTCGATTTTTGTGTTAATTTTATTCTGGTTGTCCAATTGTTTTTTAGAGTTGGATACTATATGTAAGTCGTCCATATTATTGGTTTTGACATGATAATCCTCCATTAAATTGTTGGTCTCTATGCGTGTTGAGTTGTGATTACGATCTATCATTAACCGTGGGTTGAAATCCATATATTCGGATTTGTAGTCAGTTTTACCCGGTATCAGTATGTCTCTGGTGGCGTAACCTTCGCAGGTTTCGTTGAGGTGTATAATTCCTACTCCTTTGAGTGTGTGGCTAGTTGATTCCTTGTCTTCATCACAGGTAACAAATAGTACGTCATAGTTAGTCACGTACCTATATCCATTCATTTTTGAATCTCTTTTTATGAAAGATAGTTGTACCTATTTGCACATGCATCACTTCACAACTATTTGGAACTTTGGCTGGATCTTGCAATAATAGTACTTCGCATGTGGGTCGTATATTACGAGGATGTAAAGGATTACCTTCAGGACATAATAGGAAATCTCTAGCGTGTTTACAATGAGTGTAGTAAAATTCGTCATAAGTTGCATAATGTTCTTTAGATTTACTTATAGCTATATACTTATTACTAGGTTTTATATAAGCACAATCATTGTCAATACATACTGGTACAGGTATTAAATTATATAAAATAAAGTCGTTTTGATAAATTAATGGTAAAGATATTATAAAAACTAGGTTGTCGTTAGCATAATAAATAGCAATATCTGAGAGTTTCACCAGTTCGTAAATGTTAGTAATGTCTAAGTCAGTGGGTAGATCAGCCCCCCTGGTAAAGATACTTTAATGTCTTTGACGTGTTCTAATAGCTCTTGTGGCGTTATTAAACTTGGGTGTATAACTCCTATTTTTGCTTGCTGTATAGTTTCTAATATCGTATTCGTTTCTAACATATGTTTTGTAATTAATAAGTTAACGTGTATAAAATGTTTTGTTAAATAATTTTTTATTTGTTGTTCTTTCGTAATGTTTGTGGTTCCGTTTGCGGATAACGTTAAAGGCAACATAGTTAGGGGAGACTGGCTTAATATGACATATTAGGGTAATATGACACATTGATATTTTGATTAGAATTATTGATATTTATGAACCAAATCTTCTTTAAATACGTTACATATAACCTCCTACATACAATTGTATACAGCGATCACCGGTTTTGACCTTATCAGAGAATTTGATAACAAAAATGTGTTTTTTGTCTTATCAACATTTTTTAAAATCATTTTTGAAAATTAATTTTAAAATATTAAACCTAATGTTCCTTCAATTTTTTTTATTCGAAGTTGAACATAAAAAGGCAAGCTATACTACAATTGTTTTATAAATAAGCTTATTATAATACTTTTGCCATAAATACTTTGAAAAAAACTTGTATTATATCAGGCAAAATGACATAGCCGTGCTTATTATTATATTAATTTCATATTTATATTATTATATTAATTATGTTAAATATATTTCTAAAATTTTGTTATTTATAATAAAAAAAATTCATTAAACTATTAAATTCTAAAAATTTTATAATTTATTTCTATTGACCAGTATACAATGG